CATGCTGACAACAGCATCGTGTGGCACTGGGGACATGAATCCACACTATGGATGGAAACTACATTCCTGGGCATTTTAAAAATAATTAGCAGGGAGAGCAGAAGTGATCTATGCTTAGATATAGCTTATGCATATGGTGGCTTTTACAGTACCAGGCGAACCATAAGGCATGCATTATAAACTAAACAGTATACTTTATTCTTCCACATAGGTCCACCCATTGTGATCTAGGACTTTCCTTCTGAATTAAAGTGTCTGTAGTATCACCATCATAACTGGGTCCAGTAAAACCAACCTGACTCCCAGTAAAACCTTGAAAACAGTAATGTACGGCAACATTGACATGATTAATACTACCGTCCGCAAGTTTCGATCTGAATTTGTACTCTTCTTCGAAGCCACTTTCAATTTCAATTTCAATTTCAAAAAACTTTATTTGTCCCCGAGGGGCAATTTAAAAGGCATAGAGGAGCAACGCACACAAATAACAGTAGTAACATTAAACGCAACCGATGACACACAGACACACAATAAACTATGAACATAATAAATGACTAAAAGTACAAACCCTTATTCTCTAGCTGGTCTACAGTTTCATTCCACGGCATGTGTATGTCAGTATGGTGCGCTGTAATAATGTTTGCTAAGTCGTAACTTGCCAATGAGATTGCATAAGATTGCATGGTATTTCAAGTTTGTTAGCTGCCTAGGACGCTTCTTTAGAATGGTCAAAGCAAGGGGAATTCTCTCTCTATGCCTTTTCATCTGCTGTGTCCCTCAATATGGTTTTATACAACCTTTGACCCTTTCCCATAATATCACCTTTGCATGTGATACTTAGTTCAGCCAAGTAAGCTACTATAAATATACCATTTCCACTTTCTCAACTATTATGGGCCGCCGACAAATGTGGATGGGATACAATATGCAAGATTTAAGTGGGAACAGAGCCTGGCCAATCCCAGTTTGGTGAGATGAATGAACATTCTGATAATACAAAGTCTAATGATATGTGGCAGAGACACATTGAAGGGACTCGTGACACGTTGCTGCATGGGAGCCGCCACTGCTCACAGTGGGAAGCTGATTTGTGTGTAATCAAAGGGATAAACAGAGGTTAGACCCAGGGGAGGGGTCGGGATACAAGTGCAGATTGTGATCCCGCCTTGCAATCCTCTGTTGGACGTCAACCGGTGAGTTCACACACCAGACATCTCACTGGCATGTGATATGAATCACTTCCAGGCTAGAAATGTGTGTTGCTTCTGCTCAACTGTTCTGCTTATCACCTAGGCTAATGCCGCACTGGTAATATTACGTATTGCCTATTTCACATCCCGCCATTGAAAACGGTCTAAAACCATCCCGAGTTACATGGTGGGCTCACTGAAGCTGAGTAATATAATACGGGTTGCACGGAATTTTACACAAGAAAGTACTGTCGAGTTTGAAGCGAAAAAGCAGAAGCATAATCTGACAGTTACAGTTGGTTGCTGTGTTTGTTTTCCTTGCTGGGAACCTCCCATCTCATCCTAGATCTTCAGTGAATTCAGCCCTAGTTGCGTCTCCATTCACATTAACCCCTCTATCCCACAACAATATCATAAAAGAGTAGCCAAACTAAGATTCAGCCGCAAGAAAGTAAAAATCGTTGCTCAAGTGTGACACCTAATGAAAGCTGTTAAACAGGGATTCCCAGGAGCACAGACAAATTGTAACCCTTCCCTCTATTGTGAGTCGCTTTGGAGTAAAAGAGAAATGAGCAATTGAAAAAGTAAACGGAAGTCAGAATTAGCTTATGCTAATCCGTTAGATGCTAAAGAACAATAGTTACTGAACGTATTTGGCTGGATAAGTACGGAGATTTTGTTTTAGAAATTTTCCAAGCTACACTTGTTAACTTGTTATACTGTTTAACTGGATATTGAAAATAAAAAAAAAATGTCAGTTTATTTCATTAAAGCTCTATAAATCGTACTGGTATATGTATAGCGTATTCAGTCATGTCTTAGCTAAACGTTACATTTACAGACAATTGTAGAAACCTGGATTATTACACACGTCACACGTATATTGCTTTAACACCACCCACGTAGCTACAATCTCTGTTAGGAATACTTGGAATACATTTTACATGGATATTTATTTTCCTTTCATAAATTAAGTAGCGATATATAAATATACACATTTGCCTTAAGCGTGCGTGTGTCCGTATGGCGTGCGTCTGCACTTGTGCTCTGAAGAGCAGAGAGCCTGGAAACTGCTGTGATTTGAAGCCTTGTTATAAATTTATGAAGTGCTAAAATGTTTTATCCCATGGGTGGAGACTGCCAGCTGTCACTGGTGAGCCACTCTACGTTAGGCAAATAGTCCGAAAGCAACCCAGGAGCCGCGGTAGACGCAGGGCCAAGCTCAACAATTGGGGGGGGGGGGGACACACGCCTCCTGGAAACGGACCACTTACCAATTAGCGTGAACTGGAGTGAAGCTAATTGGTCCCTCTCCTTCTCCTGAACAATAATAGCCAGGCGGTTACACGGCGCCGACAAGCTCGCATTATGCAAAACATCCCTCCAGCGTGTTACATCACCGCTTAGACAAAGTCAAATATCAGAATGTCACCGCGTCATCTTCTGCATATTAACGGCAGCTAAGCATTTTGCCCTCGCTGATTGATGTCTCCCTCGTCTTGCTGTGGTGGGACGTCCAAAACATTTTTTCAAGCTAAAGGGTTCACAAGAAATTCTGGTCTCATTCCGCGGTTAATCATTAAGCATCATGTAGCAACAGGTACCTAAAGACAAGAACGAGGACGATGTAGACCGAATCTATATCTATAAAATGAAATTAAGTTAAACCAGAAATAAGTCCGGTTCCTAATGATATTTTCATGGATGTGCTGAAATGTGTAGACTTTGCATCTAATATTTCTTAGATTTAAAAAATACACAGAAAAGCCTGGAGATCCTCTGTAAATGGAATCATGTGACATTTGATCATCTCATTGCTTAGACCTTTGTGACAAAGGTCCTAAGCAACAAAAACAAAACTCAACAAAAAGGTGATCGTTCTGGATTGAGGTTACTCGGGAAATGGAACACGTCGATGCACACAAACATCGGCACAGGAGGGACAGGCGGCACGAATCAGTGCTAACAATTGTGGTCACCTGATTCAAGCGTCCTGTTCCCCCACCCTGCCATTTTTTTCTCAAAGCCTGCAGAGATGGTATAGCTGCTCTGCCTGATAATTTTTCAGTTACATTTTCATTATATTGGAAGTTCTTTCTTTTTTATTTGCCTGACAGTTCATACGTTAAGAAAACATTCTGCTGTCACGCATTATACAGATTAAAACGTCCGGACTTTTCCCGGACGTTTGTGTCAAGCTTGCACTCTTTACCTGGGTTTCTCACTGAGTGATGGCTTACATGTGAGACGTCAGGCATCTCTTTGGATTGGGTAGCCAGTGGCTGCTTCGCTTCAGGATATTTTCCAAACCCCAAATAAATTGACAAATTGGAGGCTCCTTTTTTTTCTCTTTCTTTCTCCTTACTCCAGCTAGGCTATTGGCTGGCATAGGCAGCTACCTCAGGGCAAACAGCAGCATATTGCTGATCTCACATCCCAGGGTCCCTGCAGAAGACGGCCAGGATTCCGCTGGCATCGTAGACGGATTTGTTTAGGCTATGTGGGCACAGGAAGCAACATGCTATGGAAACAACAACACCCATTCTCCATTTTGTGGGTCTTGTTCATGTTTTTACCCTTTTTGGTAGTACATCATCCTAAATTTACGATCCCAGGAAATAGACGAACATCTCCAGATGTGGGGCATTTTAAGGATAATCTCTTCATGTCGTGTTTCGGACACAGAAGCTTAGGGCTACTCAAATAAAACAGCAGTAATTTTTCATTATATAATTTCAAAATATTAGCTAGCTAGCAAACATGTTAGCTAGTAAGACAGCATAGCATTTAGAATAGCTAATTTTATATAATTTTCAATGTATTTATCATGCCTGTTTTTTCAGCTTGCAATGAATAAGGGATTTTTATTAACTGTTGTGCAAGTGGATTACTTAAGTACAACAATATTTAGTTGGCATAAAGATTTAAAAAGTGTATTCGCTTTACATTCTCGATCCCTAAAAGTTTATGCTCTCATCTTACACACTTATAACCTTTATGAAATAAAATCCCACAGTAGCAAGAATAAAGAAGCATTTGTAATATCTCTGTTTTTTCTGTGCTAATTATGCTAAGGTTATACTAATCAAGACAAAAACAAGATCCCTGTGACGAAGATTTACTGATCACATTCAGCAGTCATGTTTGATATCGGATTTAAATAATAGATCTCTGTAGAGTGCCGAGAGAATTTTATGAGTGTACAGTAAGACCCGGATGTGTTGTCTCCTGATCTTCACTAATCATATATTAACTATTAGAATGTTAGAGGAAGTAAAGTCAAGACATGAAACATACTTCACAGCATCAAAAACTGAGTCTCTGCTGAAAAAAAAAATCCTTTGAGCAGAAAGGTGATCCTGTGGAGCTGTTGGTTACTAGACCCTCCCTTTCCCACCATTGTATGTTTCTGTAGACTCAGGCTTTATCACAGAGAGTAAATCACTTTCAGAAGCCATCTTTGTCACTCTGTTTTGGCAAATATGTTTGGTTCAGATTCAGAGTAGGATCTCGCGCTGCCATTAGCATGAGTTTGCCAATTACGCTCAGCACTTTAAAAAATAAAATAAAATCACTGGTGGCAGCTATTTTGGGCGTTAATGTTTGGGAAATTGTATGCAACAAAAGCAAAACTGTTGTTTTGTGTGAGACTAGATGACATCACGTGTCACCTACAATAACATACGCAATCAACGCCTGAGCTGTCTGGCTTCTGTTTTGCTGTATAAAGTTAATAAGTTTTGCAGTATAATATGGGATTTGGAGCCGGCCGTGGTTACAGTATTTTCCTTTGTCTTCTTTCCCTTGCAGTTTTCAGTGAAGATCTACGTTCCAGCTTATATTTTGTCAATGCATCTCTGCAAGAGGTAGTGTTTGCCAGCACCACAGGGACGCTGGTGCCCTGTCCCGCGGCGGCTGTGCCCCCGGCATCACTGCGCTGGTACCTCGCCACCGGAGAGGAGATCTATGACGTCCCAGGGATCCGCCACGTCCACCCCAACGGCACTCTCCAGATCTTCCACTTCCCCCCCTCAAGCTTTAGTAACTTAATCCATGATAACACGTACTATTGCACAGCTGAAAATCCTTCAGGGAAAATTAGAAGCCAAGATGTTCATATTAAGGCCGGTGAGTATTCTCCGCATCCGGTCAGGGACCCACCAGGTTTGGCGATATGCAAAAGCAACAGCCTACCAGGAAGTGGAACACAATGATCGCATATAATACTTTGAAAACACATGTTCATAAAAAGCATAGTATCAACATTATTAATGCTAAAACAGCAATAACCTTTTTTTGAATTGCTGCTAATTTCGTAGTAGCATTAGCAGCAATGCATTCACAAAATACTAATACTACTATGAGTATCTTGCTGCTAATTTACAAGTAATGCTGAGTATATTGTTACTAATATAGTAGTAACATTAGGAGTGTGATTTATTTATATGTTTTATTATTAGATAAAGACAGTGTTTCCCAATCTGTTCCTCGGGGACCCATAGATAGTCCACATTTTTGCTCCCTCCCAGCTCCAGGTAGGGAGCAAAAACATGGACGGACTGTGGGTCTCCGAAGACCGGATTGGGAAACCTTGGATTAAGACATGGATGCTTTAGTGCACAGTAGAACTCCTGTTTCTTTCTCTTCCCCTGCATCTGCATAGTCTTACGGGAGCCCTATGCGGTCCGCGTGGAGGACCAGAGAGCCATGAGAGGCAATGTAGCGGTCTTCAAGTGCATTATCCCCGCCTCTGTGGAGGCCTACATCACTGTTGTATCGTGGGACAAAGACACAGTCTCGCTTGTCTCAGGTAGGTCACTTCTGCTGTGTGTTCCATTGGACGGGGTGTGTCCACCAGCTCACTGATTTAGCCAACATTTTCAATTACATTTATTTTTCTAAAGCATCCATCACAACATATTATCCCCAAAAAACGATATATACATATAGCAGGCAGAACAAGCAGAAAAGGCTGTAAACATTGGAGGAGAGGTTGTATACGTTGGACTATTAGGGAAAAAAGTCTCCAGAGGTCAACTGTCTGCCCTCCCATCCTGGGTGTAACAATTATACAAGTTCAATCCTTAATTTGTCCAACTGAAATACCTTTTTGGGGGCTAAAGTCCCTATCACCTGGTCGCAGGCCCAAATTCCTCAACCAGAATGTTCCCGCCAAACCCTTTGCTGTTGGACAGCCACACATTATGCGGGGGGAGCCGATTTGTATGTCAGGTGCTGCTCGTGTGCCAGAGAACCGGGTCCGCCATTAGCTTGCGATCTCCCAGGGTCGATATCTGCCAAGGTTTGGGCACCGAAGGGTGAACGTCTCCTCCGTTCCAGATGGCACTCATTCAAGGCTCCGGCTGCATCGTTCTGCTTGGGTATACGGCACAAAAAAAAAGGTTTTATGTGAGCAAGAACTGAACTGGGTTGTTTTTTTTATTCATTTGGTTATTCTGAATCACCTCAAGCACAAATAAGCCTCTCCGATATTCAGGCTGGGGGCATATTATCTTATATGCAGCCTTTGCGGTTGCAGAGGAGACTTTGTAGCCATTGAGTGCATGCAAGGTGTGCCTTGTTTTTGTTCTTTGTTATTTTTTTCACCGCCAGAGCAGAGGTTCTAACAAAATGAGAAAAGCAAACCCAAGACCGCAGTTGTCCCTCAGATTGGTAAAAATGATTCAGTGGGCCTATATTACACGGAATGCAGTAGCACACCAGCTATTGGTTGCAAACAATAGTTTCACCATTATTTAATTTTGTTCATTCAAACGGGGCCATTGACAGGGTCAAGCGGTCTTGTCACTGTTTGTCTAAGCAACGGCTAAGATGCGCGATGTAAGTGATTTTGAAAGTGGTGTGTTTGATAGTAACAGAGATGGTGGGTCCACCACCTCAGAAACAGCCATCTTCCTGGGACTTACACACACACCTGGGCCTAGAGTTTACAGAGAATGGTGCAATAAACAAAAAGCATCCAGTGATCGAGTGAGAGAGGTCAGCGGAGAATGGTCTGATTGACAAAAGCTTACAGGAAGGCCGCAAGTGCAAACAGTTCGGTATAACAGTCGTGTGCAGAATGGCTACTTTGAATGAAGGACTGCTCATCCACCTCTGAAACGCGATACTACCCAGTACTAGCTAGGTGTACCTAATAAATTGGCCACTGAGTGCATATTGTGCAATTGCATACATTTTTAGTACATACTCTGGTTTGAAATCATAAAGGCATAAGCCAGGCTAGAATGTATCCTAAATATCAAGATAAAAACCACACAGCGCGTAAAAATTTTGGTGTCAGTGTGTTTGAAAGAACAGCTAATTTTCCACCTGACTGCCATCGTTTGTTGACTGGACATCTTTGTGAAAGGTTGGGGGAAAAAAGGGAGAAGGAGAAAGCAAGAAAGGTCAAACTGTTATAGAAAAATGGCACGCTATGGCTTTTTTCTGCATGGCATATTCCAGAACATTCTATCAGCATTCATCGCGCTGCATTTGTATGTGAGTCACCTGCTTGTTGTCTGGGCCGTCCTGTCGTTAATGGAGATGTGGGCATTCTTGCACCCCCCCCTTCCCCAATCTCCACCGCAGATAGAGGTTCAGGCTGAATCCCTCTGAGTTATCGCTCAAGTCGCCTGGTCCCCGGCTCTGACTGCAGCAAAGTCGGCCCCTTTTGCTTTTTCTGACCCACTTGCACTGTGACTGGAGCCGTCAAAGTGCACTCTGATAATTCCCATCAGTTAAATGGAATGCTGTCCTCTTCGATTACCCCCCACCTTCTCTTACCCCCCCCCCCCCACACACACATCCCCAGGGGTACTTTTCCTTTTATATAGAACATTTAGCAAACTCAATAGACAGAATGACAGCATTAGCAACAGAGGGAAAGTGCCATGATTTGGATTCGACTCTGATTTGCATTGTCTGATATTGGATTTGCCTGTACTGTGCAGGAGAGAGAATGAGTTATTAATAAAACTGATTATTTCAAAATATTTTTTTCTTAGATTTGCATGTATTTTATGCATAAGGACAGTGTTATTGGAAGTGAAACTTTGGGAAATCCATGCTTTCTGTCATTGATAAACATCACAGAGTGATGACTGAGCATTGTAATGAGTAGCCATGGAAACGGTGCGTTCCTTATTTTGATGCAGAGAGTATTAAATTTGTATTTTTGGAAGCCATACATTGTTTCTCAGTTTTGTTCTTTTTGTGTGATATGCCATAGGGATTGTTGAATGTGTTTTGGTGTTGATTTAGGGTTCTGTAGACACTAGAAACATTTACCCGTTATAACAGTATCAGGCCATGATAGCGCTGTGAGGACAATCAGTCAGCCAGCTAACCGTACTCGTTCAATGCTAGATATTTGATCCTGGACACATTCCCATCTACGCGCTAACAAGGGGCTGCTTATTCCTACTAAAACATGCGAAACATATTTTAATCGTTCCCCGGCTGCTGCCCCTCCTCACGGCTGGGTTGACCCCCACTGGTGTCCCGCCACTGTTCATGGCTGGGGGTCCTGGGCCCATGCATTGCATGTTTTATTAAAAAAAGATTAAAAAAAATAAACAAGATGCAGGAAAAAAGGGACACTTGGTCTCTTGCGGCCCAGAATAAAGCTATTTTACCTCAGATAAATTATTAATTTGCCCGTTTGCGTTGGAAAGGGTTCACCGTTGAGCGAGTCCTCAGCCTCTCCTGTGGTAACCCAGAACCTGACCCAGTTTGTAATTAATGATGTGGGAGCGAGTCCTGTACTGCACCGAAAAAGGAGGGAATAAATGTTGGTCCAGGCCGCGCCCAGCTCCGTCAACCGCAATAAAGGCATAAAAACAAAGAAACAGACACATGCCGCGGACAAGAATGCTGAGTTATGTTCCGTTTGCGACACCCGTGCTTTTGACCTGGTGCGTAATGAGATGCAAATCGCAGTGTGCCGCGGCGGTCCCTGCTGTTTCTCTGTCCACATCAGAAGAAGGGTTAAATTGCTGTGAAGAAATGTCAAGATAAAGTGTTTACTCAGATCTTTCTAACACTGGGCCTCACATTTTTTCATCTTTGCGTATTTGTATGGCGTACAAGAGGCTTTTCTGAAGCAAAACGATCTAAGAACATGAAAAGATCCAAAATAAGGGCATCTTCACTGTCACCAGCATCATGCCGACTTACGGTTCCGCAGCACTACACCTATGTTCCGGCCTTGTGTGGAACTTGTTTCCAACGAGTGATTCTCTGTTATTTTGTGCTATTAAAGTGTAATTCAAGTTATACCAGAGGCAAATGCATCCCGTCTTTAAAGGTGCTAATATCAGCGATTGGTCAATAGATGAAATTTTGAAATGCAATCATGTTATCATGATGTTATTCAGGAGAAACACAAGCCAGATTTATCGAACTCCATTTTTTTTTTTTTTTTTTGCTCAGAATATGAGTTCTTCCAAAAAATGTACGAATTTGGCTCCCTTTAGGTCTCGGAAACATTTGAATTTACCCACATGGCAAGGAAAATGCATAATTACACTTAGGCTCATGTCGAAACTAAGTAATGGTGATTAAGAATTTCAAGTTGATTGCAATATGAATTACACCTCAAAATAAAGTCCTCTTAGCAGCTATTTGATGTCTTTAAGTCTAGATAGATGAAGCCATGCAGGAATACCTTAGCATTCAGGTTTTACCCGCTGCTTGTGAGTAAGTATCACCTTGTTGACGGCAGTTTTTGAGGAGGCCAGTGGAGTTGCAGAGATTCTCCATGTGTGGGATCGTGTGTAGGAAGGACCGACGTTCCTCTTCCCACGTTGCTATGGGCCGTCATGCATTTGCCATAATGCTCACGAACTGAGCCTTCATCTCACAGCCTCACACCAAGCACAGTGAAAAATCTCACGCTCACAGACACCGCAAATATAAGGCTTTATTTGCTCCTTCATATATAGTTGATACTCGATTAATATATCTCCCGCTTGCCTTGGTTGGAGTGTTTCTCAGTATGCGTACTCCACCGTACATGTATTCTCTCGTACCCATTTTGCGTTATCTTCGATTACTGAAGACCAGTTCCAGTACTAAGAACAGAAGTACAGGGGACAGAAAAAATCCCTGGATGTTGTTCTTGCTCCGCCCCAAATATCAAGGACGCATTGGTTGCATCCTCACAGAATGAGAACAATCCCATGATTCATTGCTTCTAGACCACAAGTACAGTCTTTGCATTCTTGGTATTCTTGGTATTCAGATGCATCCCTAGGCACCCCGAGGGTCTCCCTCTCTGATTGGCTAAGCTCATTGGAACTCTTCCATCTTTCCTAGTATGACTCTACATCTGGAAGTTGTAGTCCTTCAATAATATTCAGTAGTTTCAAGTGAAAGTGGAAAAAATCATTTTAAGTGAAATAGTATATGACGTCTGAGTCGGATGGACTTGAGTATCTGTTTGAAGGTCATGTTCGCGAATGAATTCAAACAAAAAAATGAATACTGGTACAACTCAGTGCTGTGTATTTTAAAAAATGATGCTGGTCAGAACTTTGAAACTGGGTCACATTCTATGGAGTTTGGTGGAGGGCATGTGGAAGGGTTATTGATGGGGATTTATTTGGGGTTTGCTGAACCAACCAGTCTCACCTTGACGCGGAATATCTGCAGGCCAGTATTCTGATTGGCTGATTCAGGTTTACGTTCACAGATTTGTCTCTGGCTGAAAAAAATGTTTAATTTGTATGTTGACGTGCACGGTTTTACTCCACTAAGTAATCTTTGCTTAGACAATGCTATGTTGGACTCTCAACCAGGGAATCC